TAGGGAGGCCCTCGGTAACTTAGTGAGAACCCGTCTCACAATAAAAAATAAAAAGGGCTGGGGATGTGGCCCGTGGTAGAGACCCCCTGGGTTCTATCCCCAGTACCAAAAGGAAAAAGCAGAAAAAGAAAAAGAAATCCAACGTAAGCCTACTTCAGAGCATTTTAGATGTTTCCGAATAACACAGAGGAGCCCTGAGGCAGTGTGTTGGGGGTCCCTTGAAGACTCTGGTCGCCTCCCTCCTAACAGCCCACCCTAGCCAGAGGTGCCAGGAGGACAGATGCGAGGGACGGCAGTGGGAGGYGTGAGGCCCCGGCAAGTGCTGGAGCGGGAGAGTCCTTGCAGCCCTCCGCTCACATCAGGTCATGATTTAGCTGGAGGATCTTCCTGGAAATCCTCCTCCTCYGTGAGCAGCCTCAAAGCCCGGGGCACCCACTCTTGGGCTCCGACTTGAGCTGGCCTTGGACTCCTGGAGTCCCCTCTGATTTCCCCAGTGTTCCCTGTGGCTTGAGATCTGTCTTGGCATTTTTACAAAGCGACRGTTTTAGAAATGTCACCTCACCTTCTCTGTGGCTGGGAGAAAAGGGCCTGTTCAGAAAATGCCACGCAAGCCCCTACCCCCACCCCCACCCCCATGGGGACCAGCCAGCTGGGCCGGTGCCCTGTGTGGCTATCGTGATAAGACGCACTGACTTAATGGCTTTCTGTGGCTCACAAAGGGCAGAGAAACAAGATGGGCTGGACAAAGAGAGTCGCCCGGTAGATGGCCCAGCAGAGGGGGAAAGGGGACGGCTCCTAGAGCCATCTGCAAAGGCGCCCAGACTGACTGCAGAACTCTGGAGCTGGGGTCTCTGACGCTGGGCTCTCCTCCTGMTTTCCTGCAGGATCTTGGGTTGCTGGACCCCCCCACTGCTAACCTTGGGGGCAGGAGGCATCTTGGTCTGGGGGTGCTGTCCCAGGCACTGCAGGAAGCTTAGCAGCATCCCTGCCCCTTACCCCCCAGATGCCACAGCAGCCCCACCCAGAGTGCCAGTGTCCCTTGATGGGGGCAGACAAAGCTCCCTGCTTGAAACTGACCGCTCGGCTGAGCAGGTGGCTCTCAGGGACTGAATGCTTACGTACAGGGGAAAATGAACTTTTCCRCTTTCTCTGACCCAGGCTTCTGTGACCTGGGACACTCGGGGGCTTCTCCCGGCCAGCAGGCTGTGATTCTGCAGTGGACACCAGCTGGCCTGTCCTCAAACCCAGTGCAGTTCTGACGCTACCTTCCCGGAGGTGGCAGCAGGTCCCAGGGTTGAGGCTTGGTGCCCAGGTCCGCCCCGACTCCGGTGCCATCTCAAGCCCAGGTTGCTTCCCCAGTGCTGCCCACAGACCGGCTGGGAACGCGGGCTCCCGGAACCCCCTCCTCCAGTGGACGAATTTGCTTGAGAACTCAGGAAACGGATTCACCCGCTCACTATAAAGCGCTTGAYGAAGGATGCAGATGCAGATGTGCCGGGAGGGAGGTGGGGGCACCCTCTCCAGWGCCCTCACCTGTTCCGTTTCCTGAACCCTGACCTTGGGGGCTTTGTGGCAGCTTCATCTCGGAGGCACGATGGATTAAAGCATTGGCCACTGGCCATCAACTTGACCTTCAGCCCCTCTCCCCTCCCCAGGGGCTGGGGGATGGGACTCAAAGTCCCAACCCTCTACTTTTCCCAGGGACCAGTCCCCATCCTGCAGCTACCATTAGCATCGAAAAAGAATCTCTGGCTTCAGAGATGCCACAGATTTTAGGAGTTGTGTGCCAGGAAATGAGGAGTAAGATAAAAAAATGCATTTCACGATGTCACAATTTGTGTCCCCCCAAGACCCATAGGTGGAAGCCCTAGACCCCAAAATGATGGTGTTGGGAGACTGGCCTCTGGGAAGTGCCTAGGGTTACATGAGGCAGGAGGGGGGACCCCATGATGAGGTTAGAGCCCCCATGAGGACAGGCACAGAGCTGTCCCTCTGTCTCCTCCTCTGTCTTTCTGTGTGTCTGTCTGTCTGCCTCTCTGCCATGGGAGGACACACTGAGAAGCCAACCTTCTGCAAACCAGGAAGAGAGCTTTGCCCAGGGCCCCGMTTTGCCGGCATCCTGATCTCGGGACGAGCCACGTTTCTGCCATGGTAAGACCCGGGTCTGTGGCCGGCTGCTCGTGGCCACTGAGTAGATGTGGGTTATTGGGTGGCTCCCTGCGTTCATGCATCACACACACAGGTGCATCTTCCCTTTGGGCACCATGAAGGAGGGAGAGAGAGAGAGAGAGAAGGAGAGGTCAGAGCAGGAGGGAGACAGGGAGGCAGGAGGCACAGTCACCCTGGCCTCCAACAGCRAAGGTGGCAGGACACCGGCAGACACACTTCCAGATAGAAGAGGAGGGTGGCACGGGAGAGGAGAAGCTGGGAGGAGAGGTAGGAGGCCTGGAGGCCCTGAGGCTGTCCGCATGGGGGGGCGGGGGTTCCCTGGAGTGTCCCTGCTTGACTTTCTTTGCCCTTCCCCAAGCCACCTCTTCAGCTGTCTGAAGTACACAGAGATCAAAATTTCACATTGTTTCCTAGAAATAGACACTGTTATTTGTTGATAAAACAAAGATATCTGGAAAACAAAACAACGACAACAAAGAACACATCCTCCTTCCTGCCCCTCTCCCCACGTTTTGTAAATAACCTTCTTGGTGCACAGCCAGGTTGGGTGGGTTCCTCATGATCCGTGGCTGCTTTTCACCGCCAACAGCCCAGTGGAATAGCTGTGATGAGGCACATATCCTACCTATTGACTACCTGGTCCTTTACAGAGAAAGTGTGAGTGAGGCCTGGTGTGTCAGAGCACAGCTGCCAACCCTGCAGTTGGCTGGTAGAAAACTCTTTCAGACCTGGGACTGAGACCCACTGATACCAGGGGTTCTTAGGGGAAAAGACATTGGGAACCTCCATTTTTTATGATTTCTCTGCCTTCTTCATGGAAGCTCGTCCCAGGTGCGAGGTACCCTCCTATTTATTGCAGATAGTTTGTGGGGGAAAAAAAAAAAGAGCAATTGATAACAGCTCCCTCCCTGAATCTAAGAACTGAAAAATGAATGAATGAAGGAGAAGCTGAGWTTCAGGAAAAGGGGGGTGAGCTGCTGCACCGTCTCCTGGGGAGGACTGTAAGAGCCTCCAGCTGCCTTCCAGCCTCTATCTTGGAGACTGCCCCGATTTCCCCTAGGAAATGGATCTTTTACAGAGAAACCTACATCCTTGTCACCCTCTGCTCAACACCCCACCCCCGGGGGCTTCCCATCCCTCCTCTCAACATGAAACCCACAATCCCCACCTCCATCCCCAAACCCCTCCATGTCACCTTGTTTGCTGTTCCTCAAACTCCACAATCAGAGGACTGCCTCGGGGCCTTGGTACCTGCTCCCTCACCTGACACACTATTTTATTTTTCGTATCAGGACTCCCCACCACGGAGCTATATCCTCAGCCCTTTTTGTTTTTTAGTTGCCCATGCTGGCCTCAAACTTGTGATCCTCCTGCCTCAGCCTCCCTCCCGAGTTGCTGGGATTACTGGTGTGYRCCACTGTGCCTAGGTGCACCCCAGTTTCTTCAGGTCTCTGTTCATAGGTCACCTTATGGACTAGGCCTCCTCTCCCCCATCTAAAGCAGCCACTCTCCTGACCTCTCCTAGTTCTCCATCCCCACCCCCAACCTGGCTTTATTTTCCACGCCACCTGTGCCACCCACATCCCTGCATGTGTTTAGGTCCCACCTCCCTGYGCCTCCCACTCAAATGTCACCTCATCCCTCTGCTGCATTCCRGGACTTAGAGCTCTCGCCAGCAGCATTTGTGAATGAACCTACCAATAAAGACAGGCTCAGAGCACGTGACTCCCCAGGCCACCTTCCCTGCCGACGGGTCTCCTCCATTGAGGACAGAAGCTCTTCCCCAGCTTGGTCAGCAGGAGAAGGAGGACGCTGGACGGGAGTCTCCCAAGCCTTTCCCTCCTGGGAGGTGGGAATTCTCCTTGCTCTTGGGAGGCAGGTGGATGGGAACAAAGCACCTGACCYTCCTGCAGCCTCCACATGTCCCCTCCTCTCTGAGCTGCCTTTGTCCCTGTAATTTGCAAAATAAACTCTGCAGCTGGCACTATGGGGACCCTGGGTCACAGATAAAGGGATGGGACAGGTGTGTTCCTTACTTAAAGTTGTCCACTTGGAATAATGGCCGGTAGCCTCTCTCCTCTGCTTGCTCAAGTTATCCCGGGAGGCAGGACCCAGAGGGCACCGGATTGCAGCAGGACGGGCAGCACCCTCACCTGGCAGAGCTGGTTGGGACCATGCTGCCCCCGGTGGTGGCCCCGGCTCACAGCACCCGGAGCACTCACGGGTTTTTCTGAGGGTTCCCGCAGCTCTATTTGATTCTTAGGTAACAAGTTGCCACAAGCCCGTGGCCTAAGGCCTCTGTAGGCCAGAGTCCTGAAATCGGAATGGAGCTGTGAGCAGAGCTAGATCCTGTGACAGTCCGGGCGGAGGGAGCTTCCCCCCCTCCTCCACCTCCTGGTGCCCCAGACGGTCCTGGGCTCCTGTCCTCACCGCCGGCCTCTGTCGCCGCTCCTCTCTGCGAGGCCTTCTGCTCTGACTCTCTTTCAAATCTCCCCCAGTCTTCCTCTCAGAGGCCACCTGTCGCTGGACTTCRGCAGCCCTTCCCTGAGCCCGGGATGAGCTCCTCTCCAGATTCTTCCCTTTAATCACATCTGCAAAGACTTTCCAAATCAGGTCACCTTCGCCGGTGTCTCSGGTGCCAGAAGTTAAAACCCGAGTGAATGTTTCTGGGGACACCCAATTCACCCCGCTACAAGGGACATCTATGTGATAGTCCCCCCCTGACCCTTTGGCTTCTCGCCCTCCATCTCTCCTCACTGGGAGGTGTCCCTTGGGGACAGTCACCACTCTCCCCATCGAGCATGTCTTGAGACGACCTTCATACAGCACCCAGCCCTTTCCCAGCCACCGTCATCCAGGGACCTCCATCTCTTGTGTCAGGACAGAATCGCGGGTGCGCTGGACACAGCCCTGGCGGGGCCCATTCAGCCGCACCCCCGAGAGCTCCCCAGTGGGGTCTGTTTCCTGGACCCCCTGAGCCACCTGGTTCTGTTCTGTGCCTGCATCTCCAGCCTCGTCGGTTCTGCAGATTGCCTGACGTCCTCCAGCTTCCTGTGGCCTGAGCTGCTGCCTAGACTTCAGAGGAGTTCAAGGACAAGCTGGAGCCCTGTCCTGACACTCTCTGTCCCTCTGCCCCAAATCACCCAACGCTGCYCAGCCGTCCTAGCCCCGTGCCTGGTGGCTTGAGGGTCCTGGGAGGCGGTGGGAATGAGGCAGCTCGGCCCGCCTCCCCTCCTGGGCGACARCCCCATGGCAGGCCCCCCTGGTGGGCTCAGCTTCCCACCTCGGCCTTCACAYGGGTCCCCCTCCAGCCCACGTCCACCAGAGCCACAGTGGGCTCCATCTGGCCSGGGCCCAGGCGGGACAGGCCCACGGCTCCCTCCCTTTAGAACCACCCAGCTTCTCCGCCAGGGCACACCCAGGGGAGACGGGGCCTCACCCCTGCGAGGGTCCCGCCTGTCACCCCCAGCCCCCCTCCAGGCTCGCTCCCCTTGACTGATGACTTGTCCCCGCAGCTGACACCTGAGCTGAGAGGCTGACGAACTGCCACCCTCCATAAATAGACGGTGACACAGCAGATGGTAGATGGAGATTAATCTCTTGCGCCCCGACCGGCCCCTCGCCAACGAGCAGCCTGCGGCCGGGGAGATCTCGGGGCCTTTCCCTGAGCTGCGCTCCTGGGACAGTCCCACCCTGACCAACAGCAGCCCCCGGTAAGCACTGGTGTCCTTAAACATGTGTGGCAAAGGCTGTCCCCACACCGAGAAAGCAGAAAGGGGATAAGAGAAGCCCATGAACACGTGGTTAACAAGCTGCTCTRTGCCCTTCTAGGTTTGTTTCTGAGGGTCCGTCTCCAAAAACCTGCAAGGAGAAAGAGCCTCCGCCACTGTGCCGGACCCCAAGGAGAGCACCTTGCCATGCAACAAAAGACCACTTTTTTTTGGAACCAGAGATTGAACCCAGTGGGGGCTTAACCACTGAGTCCTATTCCCCAGAACCTTTTATGTTTTATTTTGAGACAGGGTCTTACTAAGTTGCTGAGGCTGGCCTTGAACTTGCAATCCTCCTGCCTCAGCCTCCTGAGTCACTGGGATTACAGGTATGTGCCACTGTCCCCAGCTTCATTGGCTATTTCTGTGAACTGCCTGCCCGAGACCTGTGCTRTGACCTTGGCAAGTCTTCCCCAGCTGGGAGAAGGGCCTGGTGGCAAGAAGGGCTTGGGCAGGGAGTGTGTTGACCCAGGCCCTTCCTCCGCTGCCCACTCCCAGGGACAGTGGGCTCATCCTGGAAGAAGGACGGACCCAGAAGCTTCTCCTGGGACCCCTGGACACTCGTTCCTGCTCTTGGCAGGAGTTTACACCTCCCAATCACTTGCCTCTTCTGCCTACCGCTCACTTGGCCAAAGTGACGCCGCCTGTGCAGGTGAAACCCCCTCCCCACCCTCCCTGCCTGCCTTTCTGGTTTGGGTTTTGTTTGTTTTTGTTTTACAAGGCCCAGAGCAGTCAGGGAATTTGTCCAAGGTCACCTGGCATCTGGACCGGAGCACAGATCCCTGATTCCCTGTTTCGTGTTCTTTCCGGGCACCAGCTTCTAAATCCACTCTGAGCACCTGGAGAAGGGGTGTGTGCTGTGGCTGCAGCAGCAGCCGCTTCGTGCCGCAGAGGAATCCTGCACAAGGAGACTCCTGCTCCTGCTCCTGCTCCGGGGCAGGGGTGCCAGGGAATGCTACCTCTAATTTCCGATAGTGCTGACCTTTGTTCTCCAYCGTCACTTTCATTAAATATCTGCTGCCTCACCGGAGGAAAATTCCCAATCACCCTCCCCGTCTCKGCCGGCAGACACTTGGGCTGATTAAGTAATAAGCTGATTTCACGAAGAGGAGGCCATCTCCGCAGCATCGGGTCAAGGGCTCGCCCCGCTCGCCCTGCTCTGCAGACAGAGGGGCTGTGCGGCAGCCTGGGCCCTGCCCAGGGTATTCAGACCCGCCCTGCAGCCTGTCCTCCACCCTGACCTCAGTCCCACCCCAAGCCCGGGAGACCCCATGTGGGTGTCCTGGTGTGTCTCTGCCCCGGCAGGATCTTTAGCTGAGGGCTAAAGTGGGATTCTCTGGAGTTTCCACCATTGCCACCAACATCACCGTCACAGCCACCCTCCTGACCCTCACTGCCACCACCACCATGTTGTCCACCTCACCAGGTCCACCGCCACCACTAGGTGGTCCACCTGGTCCACTGCAAGTCCAGGCCSCACCTGACCCCTCCGTCCTGACCATTGCCAATCTCCCTGTGTGGGGGGCTGGGCTGAGTCGGGTGCCAACCTGTGCCGAGTGACTCTGGGGACCTGGTGGCAGGGAACCTTCTGGCAAGGCTGGTGTGGGGAACTCTGAGGCAGCTTGGGAGTCTGGTGGCTCCCAGGGGTCCYGGTGGCCATCAGAGGGCTCAGACACAGCTCTGCCCTTTCAATCACCTAATGTCCCCAGCTTGTCCCCAGAGGAGGGCTTGCTGGTACGCTGGAGAGGAGAYGGGCCAGGTGCCTGGGGTGGAGGGGGTGTGGGGGACTGCGGCCCCCTCTCCTGATGCTGTCCCAGATCAGGGCTGTGTCAGATCCCTCCCCGTCACTGGCTCCTCAGGACCCTCTACGGCCACGTGGAGCAGTGGTTCTGAACTTCAGGGACCGTACGTACCCCTCGGGGGACGTTTGTTAATGTCTAGTGACACTTTGGGTGCATGCTGCTCGAATCCAGGGGACAGAAGCCGGGGATGTGGGTGACAGCACAGATGCACGGGGAGCCCCACGAGGAGGAGCCGGCCGACTGCAGCCTGCGGGAAGGAGACCCAGCCGGGCTCTTTCTTGTCTTTTCTTTCTTTTTCCCCTTGAACCAGCGGCACCCTGGGTCACCCAGGCTGGCCTTGAACTCCTGGGCTCCAATGATCCTCCTGCCTCAGCCTCCCAAGCTGCTGGGATTCCCGGCAGGCACCACTGTGTGCTTTCCATCCCCCAGACTCCAGCTCTGCCCCCCTGAAACAACCAGGCCTCCTCCCCTCTCCTAAGCCCTGCAGCCACCAGTCTACTTTCTGTTTCTATGACTGGGACCACTTTAGGGACTTCATAAAGGTGGAGCCCTACATGACTTGTCCTTTTGTGACTGGCTTACTACACTCAGCCAATGTCCTGAGACCCATCCACATCAGAGCATGTGGCAGGATCTCCTTCCTCTTTAGGGCTAGGTAATATTCCATTCCAAATACAGACTCGGTCTCAGGGGGTACTAGGGATTGAACCAGGGGCTTCACCACTGAGCCACATCCCAAGCCCTTTTTTTWAAAAAAAAATAAAATAAATTTATTCTTATTAGCTATACATAAACCAGCCCCTTTTATTTATTTATTTATTTTAATTTTGAGACAGGGTCTCACTAAGCTGCTTAGGGTCACTGAGTTGCTGAGGCTGGCTTTGAACTTGCAAGCCTCCTGCCTCAGCCTCCTGAGTTGCTAGGATTATAGGCATGTGTCACTGTCCCCAGTAGTCCAGTCTTTTTAATTTTTTTTTTTTTTTTTTTTTTTTTGAGACAGGGCCTTGCTAAGTTGCTTAGGGCCTTGCTAAGTTGCTGAGGCTGGCTTTGAACTTGTGATCCTCCTGCTTCAGCCTCCCGAGTCGCTGGGATTACAGGTATAAGGGATAGTGTCCAGTGTTAGATTATTTTTTTAATGAAAAAAAAAAACTTGTTCTAAAAGCCCTGTGATGGTCCAGCCCCGCAACCCTCTGCACTCTCCCCAGCACACGCAGGACGTGTGTGGCTGTGTTTGTGCCCCTGACGTTCTAGACCCAGGAGATCTCGAGATGTGGACAAGCTGACGCACAGCAGATCCACCCTATCTTATCATAAAAGATGGCACTCGGGGCGGGCGGACGCTCAGGGCAGAGCAGTGGCRCAGCAGGGCCAAGGCCCTGGGTTCCACATCTAGCACCAAAAAGCAAAAAAAAAGACACTCAGAGCTGCCACCTCCCCTCTCCCACCCCCTCCCCTGTCCCCCTGAGGCTCCCCTCAATGCCCTCCTCCTGGGGCTGAGCAGTGCCCGTCACTCCAGGGCCACCTTCCCATGAGCACGCCCCGTCCCCCTGGGCCCTGAGTCCCCGTGTCCTGAGCAGCTCGGGAACAGCGCAGAGCAACCCCTTCTTCTGGGCAAGACCCAGGGGCAGGTCTGGGTGGGTCCTGGAGGTCGGACCCCTGTGGTCACTGGTTCCAGAGCTGAGGTGCTGTGGGGAGGTGATGGCAGGAGGACCCGGGGAGGGGACCCAAGCCTTGTGTCCCCTCTGGGTTCACAGGTGGGAAAACAGAAGGGAGGCACTTCCCTCAGCAGACAGAACCAGCCCCCAGGATGTCCACAGCCCACTCCTGGGACCTGTGTCACTATGAGGATCTCGAGAAGGAGACCATCCTGGGTCACGGGGGCGGGGGGGGGGGGCTGACTGTCACAGGGTCCCTAGGAGAGGGTGCCAGGCGGTCAGAGTCAGCAAAGGAGAGGTCACAGGGACGTGGCTGCAGGACAGGGATGGCCTCTAGAGGCCAGGAAAGGTGAACAGACACAGAGGGTTTGATCTGAGCCCGACAGACCTGCGTGGCCGTCCAGGTCCCCRTCCCCAAGGCCACCGAGAAGTCATTTTAACCCCTCTGTTCATGGTGACTTGTTCCAGCAGCCAAAGGACTTCACGCAGAGAGCCGGTGGCAGAGCTGTACCCTGGAGCCAGGTGTCCACTCTCAGTTCCCTTCACCTTTGGGGACGCCACATTGAGACACTGGCTCACAGTGAGCCTCTGGAACGGGTCCCCTGAGTGTCTGTGGAGGTGTGGACTGATTGACTGCCATGGTAATGACAGCAAGGCACTCAACACATTCCTCCTGTGTGACAGACACTGTGCCAGGCACCTTCCAGGGATTCTCTCTTTGACCCTCACAATACACATATTATCGTCCATGTTTTATTCATGAGAAAGCTGACGCACAGAGAAGTTAAGCCGTCTACCCAGGCTCACACAGCCAGCAACTAAAGAAGCTGGATTGAAACTGTGATGAACCTAAATCCCAAACTCATGCTCTCAGCCACTGTGCTATGACCTCTTTAATGGCCGCTGTGCAAGTTGAGGGGACTAGTGTTCACCTGGAAATTGGGGGGGGGGGTGGCTAGCATCTGGTCTTGGCTTTTCCCTAGTCTGCTTTATGGCTTTGGGCAAGTGACTTAGTCTCTGAACCATGGTTTCCTACCTAAAAATGAAGCAGGGTAGATGAGATCACCCTACAGTCTTAGCTTTTCTGAATCTTCTGGAATGTTCGCTCCAAGAGGGCAGAGCTTTGGTCAGATTCACCCCCGTGTCCTGAGCACCTGGCGCTGGGTTTGCTTTCGGGGGGTGGGGGGGTTTAGTCTGCTCAGTTTCYGCTACTGTGTTCAGGTCACCTTTGGCTGATAACCCCCAGGGCCGGGTTCCCATGCAGAGGCGCAATGGCCAAGCCTGGCTCAGAGCCTAAAGCTGGTGCTATGGACCCTAGGGGTGGGCTTGCCACTAAGGGATTCTGTTCCTGAAATGAGACTTGACAGGCTGCAGAATGGTCGTGACAAAGGCCCTGGAGCCTCCCTGCTCCACAGAACTCGGGCCTCTCTGGAGCAAGGCACAAGCAGGACAAATATCCGTGAATGAATGAAGGAGCCTGGTGGCACTGGCCGTGGGACAGCCCTGGTATGTCTGGAAGCCCGGGTCCCGTGGGCCCACAGGGAGGGCCACTGGGGGTCAGTGTCCTGGCCCCGGGGCAGCTGGACGTGAACTGGATGGTCATGGTCCACATTTAGAAACCCATTGTGGTGGCTGGCAGGTGACCTGGTTCCCCACAGGGGCTGGGTGTGAGTCAAGAGAGACCTGAGCTGGACAAAGGCAGGTGGCTTCGTGTCTTCTCGGCTGCAGGGCTTAAGGGCTTCATGTGAGGGGAGGAAAGCCGGGAGGGGAGCCCTTGTCCTGGGCGTCAGGCAGGTGCAGCCCCCCGAGCCTCTGCAGGCCCTGCCCCTTCAGCCAGCAGAACCAGGATAGAACCACGGGACCCCAGAAGGTCAGAACCAGGACGGGAGCCTCCTGGGGAACCTCGCCCATAGGCACTCTGTAGCTACACTGAACGGTGGTCACCAGGCCCCTGCGGGGACGCCTCCAGTGGCGGTCACCTCCCTCAGCAGCCCCGTTACAGAGTCCTGACAGCCCGCAGTTCCCAACCACAGGTGAGTCTTCTGAGGCCACTCACAAGTCTCCTGTGTTCAGTGACCGCCCCTCAGACAGCTGGAGACGGGGACCACACTCTTCCAAGCCTCTATTTTTGACATCTAAACACCCATTTCCAGAAAGACCTAAAATGTGTACTCTTCAAATGCAAAGAGGAGCTGCTGCCTCCTGCCAGCCACGGAGCTCCGGTGCCTACTCAAAGGGGCCTCAACCTTCTTCCCTGACGTCCCGCACCCATGTCCGCAACTCTACGCAGACTCGTGCCCTGGAGGTCAGGAGACCAGGGCTGCTGCGTACAGACCTACAAAGGCCATCAGTGCCTTTTAAATCCCAGTGTCTGGGTGCCCACGGGGAGGAGTGTCACCTGCTTGTACATCACACCACCCAGCAGCTCTGAGCTGCCCGCAGAGGAGCTCCCCGGCATTCCACCTGTCCCTGCTCCACGCGGGTCAGGGGACCAAGGTCAAGGGCAGGGGGTCTGGACCCTGAGAGAGCTAGGAGCCTCCTAGACTAAGAGGCAGTTCTGAGGGACCAATCGGATTCAAAGAGCTCAAAATCATGATCCTGCATCTGACTAAAGGGACACGGGGCCCAGGAGTGTCCGAGAACTTCTCTGTCCATTCACTGGAAGCCCAGCTGTGGCCACGGACACCTGGGGAGTGGCCTGCTCAGACTCCCTTCTCAGCGCCACTCCCTACACCCCGTCCCATACCCAGTGACTGAAAAGCTCCTGGGGACCATCGTGGACCATGTCACCCCATCCATTCCCCAAGTAGGATGGACCAGGAGAGGGACGGCTCCAAGAGGGGGCCAGACAGAGCCTCCCACGGCCCCAGGAGAACAGTCTCGCCCGGCCTCAGCTCCCGGTGTGAGTGGAGCGGGGTGGCAGCGACGGAAGGTACAGTTTTTGCCAAGGGGACAGGAAAGTAGAGAAAGCTCATCGGTGGATGGAGAGAAGACCATAAGACCGGACAGCAGAGGGGGGACCCCAGCCTCAGTCCCAGGACTCCCTGGGCACCGCTGTTCAGGACCCAGGTTCCTGGTGGCACKTCCTTCCATCTGCTCGCACCCCTGAGGTTGGTTCCCGTTTCTGTTTGACAAGCAAAGGTGTCCGACTCGGAGGGGCTCACCGGCTATTGATCCACGCCCTGGGTGTCCTGTGCCCCCTCCAGCCACGGCCACTGCTAGAGACGGCACCACACATCCCCAGCTGCCACCTTCCTTGGTCAGCAAGTGCTGGCAGTGGGACAGGGGCAACTGTCCCACAGTCTGTCCTTCACTGTGGAGGCCCGAGGCTCAGGGAGGCCACAGGATATGGCCAGGGTCACAGACCCAGGGAAGAAACCAGGGGAGCTGCTTCCCCATCCTGCCCTTGCTGAAGGAGGTCTGGACATGCTCTGCTAGCCAGAACTGTGCCAGCCTGTGCCAGGAAGGCCCCCAGGACCGTGCAGCCACCTCTCCTCATCCCACCGTCCACCGTCTACCCAGGCCGGGCTCACAGGCTGCTTATCTCCTGGAGCCTCCCTTTCCATAGATCATACCAACCTCAGCATCATGATGAATGCACCAAGGACAGGTGACAGAGGGATGGCGGGTGGTGAGGGATGGCCTCTGGGGGCGGGGGTGGTGAAGCCAGCTGCAGACCTGGTGATGGGACAACCTGGGGCTGCATGTCACCRGGCAGAGGGGGAAGGAGCCCAGCGGCTGGGGCTTGGCTTGCTCCAGGGATAGAGGAGGGCTCTGGTGGCCAGGAGGGAGGAGGAGCGAGTGGGTTCTGAAACACACAGAGAGCCAGACATGGTCTGCCGGTCAAGCAGAGGACCTAGACACAGAACAGGACCCAGGATCACGCAGGACGGACTCCTGGCCCAGCCTGGAGCCCAGAGAGGGGGAGGTAAGTGGATCAGAAGAGCGTGAGCCAAGGGAGGGGAGGGGAGGGGAGGGGAGCAGGAGCCCAGGGGGCGCAGCAGTCAGCAGCTCCAGGGCCCAGAGCAGCGCAGGAGGCTGCGTCTCTTGCTGGTCGTGTCCAGGACACAGTGTGAT